TTTCAAATACTTAAGACTTTGACATATTGCTCCGAGTGCCCCAATCAGCAGACAATGATTATATTAAATGACGGGGATGTCATCATTGGCCATGAGTGTGATAGTGAACCAGAAGGCTTACCCCCATTGGGAGCTAGTGAAGAAAGCATTGCCCAACCAATCCCAAGTGATGTCTTTGTTATCCAATGCACCCTACACATGCAGTTAAAGCAAAAGGAACTAATAAGAGAGATATTATATTTCACTTTAAATGTTTCGTCAATGCGAAAGTTTGTAGTGTGACCATTGATGGTGGGAGTTGCACCAATATAGCCAGCACATTATTGATAGATAGGTCAGGTTGACATGCACACTACATCGTGACCTCTATAAGTTACACTAGCTAGGTGACAGTAAGGTGATCAATATACTAAATAGGTTCGAGTGACATTTTTTGTAGGCAAATATACTAACAAAGTACTATGTGACATTGTTCCAATGCAAGTTTGACACTTATTGCTTAGGACGCCATGGCAGTATGATAAGAACGTCAATCATAGTAGTGGGAAAAATCACTATGTCGTAACCATGAACTGAATCACCCATATCTTAACATTGTTATCAAGGAAAAAAACCAAGACTAAAAGTTGCCTCTTCTTATAGGAGTATCCAGGTGTAGCAAAAGTTGCCTGAAAGAAGAGGGTGATTTAGGATGTTAAGCTATTTGATCATATGTGGAACGAGATTTTGGGAGTATTACAATCCTTCTAAGTCCCTCCCGCATCATGAAATCAAATTATATTTATTAACTTTAAGTACGTCAATATGATTTCTAAAAAATCATATAATAATATGCACTTGTTTTATTTTAAACAACTTCTATAGAAGTCATAAATAAAATATTTGGTTTTCGTAAATTAAGTCAAAGACTATGTATATTTAAAATATACTATTTTTTTATGATAAGTGATCTATAAGATCACACCATGTAAAAAATCTTTGATTCTTAAATAACATGATCTTAACTCCTTTAAATGCTACATTTGGTTTTTGAAAAGCCTCCAATGACTAGCTTTGACTTTTATATATTTAAGTAATTTCTTCTTATAGATTTTACAAGTGAAGAAGATGAGAGAAAAAAAAATGATTGTGAAAACAAAAGAGCAAATATTATTCTCTTAATCTTCCTTCTGTGCTAAATATGTTTATTCTTTGTAAATCTAATATTTGAAAAAAAAAATTGTAAATGTTTTATGTATGCCTTTTGGCATATTATAAGAAAGATTTAAGAAAACCTTTAGAATTATAGTATTCAAGGGAATAAGAGCAAAATATGAGTTTGACACTTTAATAAACAGGTGTATAATGTTCAAAGGAGCACAAGTGAGAGGTGAGTTTGATACTTTAATAACTAGACATGTAGTGTTTGAGGAACACAAATGAGAGATGAGCTTGATACCTTAATAAATAGGAGGGTAGTGTTTAAAAGAGCATGAGTGAGATGTGAGTTTCATACCTTGGTAAATAGACAGGTAGTGTTCAAATGAACACAAGTGAGTGATGGGTTAGACAATATAAGTAACTAGCGATTGTAATACCTTGAAAAAGAAAGTGAAACCTCAAATGATTAGCTTAAGATAGATGATATAGGCACAAGTAGTATGATCAAACTTCTATTATAGAGTTTGTACTCTCTTTATTTTCCTCTTTGCTTTACTTGCTGCTTATATTCACTTGATATTGCATTCTTATCTACACACAGTCAGAAAGTAAATTCATTGCTCACACTATCTTATTTGAGTATTAATTTGGAGCATATTGCATAAATGAATTAGAAAAAATTCTCATCATACAAAGATGTACTTTCAACTTATGTCGAATAACACTTAAAGAAAAAAATGGAAAGTCCTCTAGGGGCCTTAGAATTTTATAAACTCAATTCAATCCCCCTCTTGGGTTGTCCTAGACCTTGGGCTAATAGTGGAGATAAGAAATGTCAATAAATTGTCCAGACATTATGTATTGATATATGGCTCGATAGTAAACTTTAAAAAAAAAAAAGAATTAATAAGGGTTAGTTTAGACTTTAGTGAAATATCTAGGTTGGCTAGATTGTTGAGTATAAAGCCTCTTATTTGTTAGTTCAATATCTTGGCCTTCTTTAGGTGAAGCTTTACCACTACTTAATAACCAATCTTCAATAGGTTGACATTGAGGCTTTCAACTCTTAATTGGAGATGTCTTTTTATTTGCCAAGGGACTTAAACTATTAGCTAAAATTATCTTGTCCTTTTTTACAACAAGGTCGTTATCACTCTTTAATACAAAGGACAACTAAGATCATTGTTATTAAGGATGCCCATTTTAAGAATGTTGTTTTCCTTATTAAAAATCGTATCTATAATATCTTCAAACAAAGAACTCCATTTTTTGGCTATGCCATTACACAAAAGGACAACCATTCATGTCTTCATTTATCATAAATACAAAAACTCTTGGAATTATCATGGAGATCTCCAATTTCAATCCGAATTGGAAAACTAGACCATATGAGTCCTTGGTTTATTATAGAAATTTCAACAAAACTAAACAAAAATCTTAATTATGGATTAATATTTAATAAATTATTATTTATTTTATTAACTTCATTAGTAATGGATTTGATGAATGATTATCGTTTAACAAAAAGGATATTTACACATTTTCTTCTTTTAGATACCATTTCTAAGTTATGTGGTGAAGTAGATTTTTATGGAGGGACATACTTTAAGGGTCTTTCATCTTTATCAAGAAGTTGTAGAGAAGGATTCATTTTCTATACTCTGTTTTTAAGGTGGTTATAATTATAACTTAAATTTTAGTTCTTAATTCAAATTTTGATCTATTTAAGATACAAAATACGACATTTTATAATATTGTGCATATATTACTTGAGTCTTTTAGCTAGCATTTACAACTTCTTCTTGTTTGATATCTTTCATAACATTGTGAATATGGGAAGAAAGAAAGAGAAAAAAAAAGGGAGAAGATAGATAATGACATATTTTACATGCATGGGTATTCTTGTCTTTTATTTTATTAACATTAACATTATACAACTTTTTATACAGTTTATGTTATGTGTTTGAAATTAGGAGTGTATAGTTAGTGTTTAAAATCACGAGTATTTTGCAAATAAATTCATCTAAGCTATTGAATGATTGTGGTAAGTGATATTTCATCTACACTTAAGACTTTATATAAAGTTTGTAAATGAAATATAATTTATTTTCTAAATTTATATATTATTAATTAGATGATACACATACACAAATAATAGTAAAATATAAATAACTTCTAAATAATGATATACACAGGAGCATAGTTCAACTCGAACTCATAATTTTTTGTTGAGGAAGTAATATATGAATAATATAACTAGATAGTGATTGATTATAGTTAAAATGTAGCTAACATAATACTTATGTAATTTTCTCTATCTTTTCCACACACACACACGCGTGTAAATATTATCAATTTCTCATAATTTTTTTATGAACTTAAGAGTGCTTAAAATATATTTGAATTAAATGATCAAACTACATCTCTTAGTTTAGATAAAACGCAAAATCAAACTATTAGATATTCTTTATGTAGAGGTAACAATCGATAAATTAAGATTGGTTGTTGCAAAGGTGTACTAATAAATAATAGAATAATGAGACAACTCACAATAAATCAATTACGAGCTTAAGGTGAAAATTAGGTAAAATAGGATTATTAAACTACTTGAAGCAAAGCTTGTAATACATCCTTATTGGAAAAATAAATTAATTGACCTAAAAGAATATAATGACAACATTATAAAACATATATAGTGGTAAATGAATTATGAAAACCGACAAAATAGGTATATATATTTAATTTTTACCATTAATTGCTTTAAAACCCTGTCTACCATCGTTATTAATTATTATATACTATTTTACTTTACAATCACTTGCACTAAAGAAACACTCAAACCCACTATTAAAAACCAAAGTATATCCAAGTAAATTTTATTAAATTATCCACACCTCATGTCAGCATACTATGGGTACATTGAATTAAATCATGCAAATAAATATTTTATTTTTAAATTCACTGAACCAAATATATCCTATTATGTGTCTAATTCGTATTAGTTATATGATTCTAAATAAAAATTTTTCATCTGATATTCATTTTAAAATTTTATTAAACAACCTATATGACTAAATATTTTCTAATAACTGTCATTCATTGAATCAAAACCATAATAATGTTGTGATTATATATGTTTTAGTCTCATAATATCTACTAGCCCAAGACCTTGTTAGTGCTAATCATTTTGAAATTTTTATTTCAAATTTAACAGTTCAAATTATTTTAATTTTTTATTTTTATTTCAAAAAATAATAAAACTATTTATTATTATTATTAGGGTACATTTAGTACACCGACACTGCATAATATCTATACTTCATTTATAATATAACATATAGTCTGCAATATTCAGTACTCGATGAAAAGTTAAAAATTTTAAGTTCTTATTGTTTTACTAGCTATCAATTATTTATAAAGAACATCATCTGCTCCATCAAATACTATCAATTGATTGCTATTGTGTCTAGTTTAATATAGTACGTATAAATTATACTTATTTTTAAATAGATGAAATTAAAAAAGTATATATCACTCTATTTGTATATAATCAATAATAATATCCATATTTTATATATAAATTCATTGAATCAAAAATATCATTTTGTGTAGTCATTACTTATTGATTCTAAATAATATCATTCATCGAACTAAAAAAACCATTTGCCCAATTATAATTAAAATAAGTATTATTGTAATTATTATTAGTATTATTATTATTATATGCAATTATATACAATAAGCACCTTGATCACATCTAGCCTTTCAATATCATGAGTATTAATGATAAGTACTAATGATTTGCATGTATGTTTAATACTCCATTCAATACTATTTAACTTTCTTGTCTCCTCTAAGCTACCAACTTATATTTATATGTACGCACCATTTCTTCCGACTGATATAGTTGTCCCATTCTTATACATTTTTCAAGCAATTGGAGGTTTCTTGCCAATTTATGAAAAAAATGTATAAGTAAGTCCCCTAAAGATTTATATACATGTCTACATATATATATATATATCTATATAAGTATGTGAATTTATATATATATATTTGCAATAATTTCAGTTTATCTTTCTCGATAATATATATTCTATCAAAATATTTTTGGAAAATGCAGGGAGATTGTTACCAAAAGAGATGTCAAGCTCCGGCACTTAAGGTAATTTCTTAATTAATAATAATATATTTATATTTATATAATTAGATCTAGTTTTTATCATGATGAGTTATATTTTTTCCAACCTAACTGGTTAAAGCAACTGTTGGAGCTCATTTACCTTCCATTTTAAGATGCATGTTGCTCAGAGAAAGAAAACTCCATTGTTTTAATTATTTACAATTTGATTGAGTTATATATATATATATATATGTATGTGTGTGTGTATTATATAGATGATGACCATGAAATAAAAAGTAGAAATACACATTTTTTTGGTTTCCAAAAGTAGAAGAAAGGCATGGAAAAATTACGATTTGAAGAGTTTTCTGAATTTTGAGGAGACCGTGCGTCGTATACGTAAGACAGAGGTTACTTTAATGTAGAGTTTTTTTTTTTTTTAAAAAATATTTATTATATATATTTTCAAAATCCAACACATTTAACTTTCTTTTTTAATTAAAATTTTAAAATATTCCAAATAATTTTTTTTTCCAAAATTTATGTTATTATTTACATAATAAATAATACATTAACTTGAAAGCTTTAATTATATTTTGAATGTAAAAGCATTTATTTTATTATTAATTAGTTGTGTCATGTTTAATAAATATATTAACTCAAAATGTTGCATTTACTAAAAACTTTTTAACTATGATAAGATTAATTAACTATAATAGGAATGCATTATTCTCAAAATATAATAAAATTGGATGCTTTCACATAGTAAAAATTTAATTTATTATTAATATCAAATTGGTGAAGGCTTAACTCTTTTGTCCCGCCTACCTTCATTACTTCTATATGCAGTGAGAAAAAGAAAATAAAATTGAAGTCTACTTTAACATTGATATGTCTTTGATCCACTTTAGAAAGCAACTAAATTCTTTATTTTTGTTAGTTTGAACTTTATAAAAAAAAAAAATAGATTTCATTTTACTTAATAAAAAATAATAAAGCTTAAAAAATATTATATATATATGTACACAAGTTTTGATAACTTCGGATATTGGATGAAAATATTAAACAGGAAATTCTCTTTCATAATTATTATGGACGTTTATGATTGTATGTATACCTTTATATATTTCTAAATTAAGTAGTTTTGGAAAGCTTAAGAAAAAAAAAACAAAAAAACTTTTTATTTATAAATGACAACATATTATCTATTGGTTATTGCATTTTTAGTTTAATTTAAGAAAAGAATTAAATATATATATACATACATACATACACAACTTTCTTCGAAATCAAAACACATCTTTACGATTACGTGTGTTTAAGTCTAACTAGATATATGTGTAACTTGCAGAAGCACTGGGGATGTACCCGCACCATCACCCTCCGCCGTGCGCTATCTCGTCCACCAGCCCTCCACCATCGTAAGGGACGTAACGGTTACAGCCGATGATAGCCTACTTCCCATGGCCATCATGGCGGCACATAGCCCTGATCCTCAACAACACCTGGACGTTAAGCCAGTTTTTTTCTATATAGTTCAAGACATTTTGCTTCGTGGCATTCCTGATGCTCCTAAAAATGTATCTATACTTATATCTTTCTTATGACCCTCTTATTACAGTGCATATATAAGAATAATAATGATGTGTTCAATTTAAACACTATTATATATATATATGGACAGCTGATAGTAAACATGGAGGCCCTGAAGGAGAAGAACGGGAACGCAGTGCTTGAAGCATCGGCTGATATTATAGAGGCCATTTGCTGCGAGGTTCAACTCTTTTTGCAAATATCAATTAATCATATATTACATCCATATACATATACATATAGTAATATATAACGATACGTATGTACAGATGGTATGCAAATGTTCTGGAGGACATGATGCAGGGGCAACAACCAAGGCGATCTTCGATATACTTGCGATTTACTCATGGGAAGCCAAGGTGGTGTTAGGCATGGCGGCTTTTGCTGTGATTTATGGAGAATTCTGGCTTCTTTCTGAGCTTTATGCTACAAATTCACTTGCCAAATCTCTTGCACTCCTTAAACAATTGCCAATTGTTTATGAGCATAGTATCTGGGTTAAACCAGTTTTAGATGAACTTAATAATCTCATTAAGGCCATGATTAGGAATGTCAATTACATAATAACAATTAGTGAGAAATCTCCCCAAAATATTTCCATTACAACTGCAAACTCTTCTAATTTGCCATTGATCCCCATGGCTGCGTATTGGACCATGCGCAGCATTGTTGCTTGCGCCTCAAAGGTTGCTAGCCTCTCCGGCCCGGGTGTTGAGTAAGTCATTCATTAATTTTATACATATTTTACATATATATAGATATATGCTTCAATATTAATTGATTTAACTTCCCTAATTAACGAACTCATTTTGAATTTATGTATTATATAGTGAACACATAACTGATATATCAGAATTATCAAGTCTTGTCATGCGCCTTCACGAGTATACCGTTCGGTTTGAGGAACTGAGAGGTCAACCCTTGATACTTTATGGTTGCATTGATGCACAATATGTTTATATTTCTATGGTTAACTCTTGAAATATAACATTAATTAATAATTGATCAACCGTCAACCATGCAACAGATGAAGAAGCTTACATAGGACTTGTGCAGATCTTTAGAATTTCCCCACAAAGCAACATCACCATTATCGAGGCTTTGATCAATCCTTATAATACCAAGGATATTGATCACCAAAATGCATTAATGGATTGTTCCACCAAGAAGATGGTCTGTTCTTTCATCCCATTCATATACTTGCCCATATATAATAGCATATATATAATTAATAATGATTGGAACAGGTCCAAATCGATGTACTAAGGGGAAAGCATGTGGTACTATTGATATCGGGTCTTGATGTGGCTACGACTGAAGAGTTTGAAGTTCTTAAGCAACAGTACAAAGAGTCAAGGGGAAAGGTGGAGTATCAATACGAAGTCGTTTGGATTCCGATTGTGGACACGTCAGTCCCGTACTGGCCAGGTGACTTCGAGAAGCTCAGAGCAACAATGCCATGGCTGGCTCTGCACCCAACTCATATCAAAGCACCAGCCATTAAATACATCAAGAACGTCTGGCAATTCACGAAGAAGCCAGTTGCAGTGACAATGGATGCACAAGGAAAAGTCGTCTGCAAAAATTCCCTCCACATGTTTTGGATTTGGGGAAATAAGGCTTTCCCTTTCAGCGATCAAATCGAGGAAACTTTGTGGCAGAAAGAATCATGGAAACTCGATCTCTTTATCTATGGCATTACTGACGTCGAGATTCATCGTTGGGTACGTGACTATATATTACATATAACTTGCTTGATTACACCTACTTAGATAGATATTATCATGATTGACTTTTGAGTGTTGATGATGATGATCAGAGGACTGAGAAGAGATTCATATGTTTGTATGGAGGCGAAGATATAAAATGGATAACAGAGTTCACAAATGCAGTGAGAGCTTTCGCAAATACAGTAAATCTCTCACATGAACTAATTTACGTTGGGAAAAGGAACTCGCCCAGGGCTAAACAAGTAGCAGCCATAATCGTCGAGAAACAACTGAGTCAATGCTGGCCTGGTTTGCTCAAAGACTCAGGTTGCAGCTTCTGGTCTCGACTAGAAAGCATACTCTACTCAAAGCTAAAACACTTCAAAGCCAGTGACAAGTATGACATATTAATGAAAGAAGCCATGGCAATATTAGGGTTTGATGGGAGTGATAATGAATGGGCAATTTTCTCTGAAGGGGCTTCTGGGATGGCAAGAGCTAAAGGAGACATGGCTCTTCACTGCATGACAAATTACCATGCATGGTATAATCATGAAACTTGCAAAGATAGTTTCATGACAGCTCTTAACACTTACTTGCTAAAACAACACTCCTCAAAGCACTGTTATCGTCTCATGTTCCCGGAAGTCAACTGGGGTGTTCCCGACAAGATGGTCTGCTTCGAGTGTGGGCGTCTGATGGAGAAGTATATCATGTATCGTTGCTGTGACGATTGAATCTCCCACGTAGTTTCATTGGCTTTTATCACTATTTTTATTGTTCTGTTCCAAATAATCATCATGGTATATCTACCCTAAATCTGTTTCCTGCATTTATCAACGTTTTGTTTTGTTGTTTTCTGTTGTGTTAGTGTTAATAGTGGATTCTCTATCCACTTTTCAATCAATATTTTGTGTACGTTACAGTTATGTATCTCTGTATTACAATTGGCTAAACAATGCCTTATTATAACAGTATTGCTTATGCACTTTAAGCCCAACTCTCTCTCTCTCTCTCTCTCTCTCTCTCTTTCTCTCTCGCTCTCTCTTAACTTTATTATTGCATTATTATTACTTTATTATAATCTTTTCTTACACAATCCTTTTTATTTTGTAATTGTTAGTCCAAAAAATAAAAGAAGTTTTTTTTTTAATTTCTTACAAAATAGATATTTCATTTTTGTTTAGCACAGAATATAATTTTAAAAGAAAATTTTTATTATACAAAAAATAATGTAAAAAAATATTATTTTACGTGAGTAAAAATTTCATAAAAGTATAAGAAGTTTTAACGAAAATCTAAAAAATTATTACACTTAATTTTTAGTTTAAAATCTGCATGATGAATATGAAAAATAAATAAGTAATTGAGAATTACATAATCTTTAATTTATAATCAATTAAAAATTAATTTTATTTTTATATTTTAATATTTAAATAGATAATAATTATATATATTATCACATTAATTTTATTTTTATATTTCAAATTCTGAATAGATAATAATATTTAAAAATTTTATCTCCACATAATATATACAATTACAATTAATATTAACAAATTAACATTATATTTGTTTTTTGTTTATAAAAATAAGAAAGTGTAATGTAGCATTTTCGGAATTATACATGTATATTATACATATAAATTATAATCACTTTTTTCTTTTACTTTTTTCAATGAACTTGACCTAAAAGTCGTGAGGATTCTTATAAAAAAAAACTATTAAAAAAATAAAAATGTTTCCTTCCATTAATTATTTGATGTACCCAGTAGCTCATTGGGGGGTTGCGTTGTCTTATTCTCTCGGTCGCCTCTTTGTTGTGGGGTTGGGTTGCTTATTTTCTTTGTCTTCTTGATGACCAGTTAATTAATTAAATGTTCTCTTATTTTTCATTTCTTTCTCACAAAAAAAAAAAGGAAGCTTAATTTCTTTTCTTGTCTCTCTCTCCTATTGGTTTAACGAAACTTATAATAAAAGTATTTGCAATTTAAGAATTGGAAATGTTGTTTAATGAATTATGTTATAAAAGTTAATTATATTATTGAAATGATAAAAAAACATATAATAACAAAAAAAAATCAATTATTATAATTATTTAAACAATAATATTTTTCTAAAAATTATTATAATAATTTAAATATTTTTAAAATAAAATAATTTATAATAAATATAAATTTATTATATTTAAATTTTAA